TTTTTTTTTTCAAGATTGAAGAGGAGTGGAACGAAAGGTCGCGGAAACGATGGAAAATGATTTCTGCGGGGAAATCGATGGAAAACGAAAATCTACATTTCGCGAGAATTTTCCTCCGTTGATTGCACGCTGCTGGGAAGTTTTCGAAACAAATTCTGGCAAATGAGGGACGGTTCGCATTTCGAACAATTCTCTATCGTTTCCGCTTTCGTGAAATCTTTTTGCACGGGGCGAGGAAAGAGTATAGAAACGATTTATAACTTACGAATCTGAAAAAGTTCACGGATGTCTGCGAAAGGATTCGTGCAGCGAGATAAAAGTCAATTCTACATCGCGGCATACGATCTGAAAAAGCGTGACGCGTCTGCAGAAACTTCGTAGAGCTTTCTACTCGCTAAAACACGAGTCAATGGCATAATACCAGACCGCGATACAACGCGAGAACGCTATTCGTTTCCTCGTGTGTCTGACGCGCGACCTTAACCCGCGAGCGCCAGAATCTGCAGGAAATCTGCATCGAGGTGCTGTCTGGGAACATTCTGCGAAACAATGGCTGTCGAAAATAAATTACACGCTTTTAATTACCGGCGACCCGGCGACGACGCTAGGAAGCGTCGAACTGGTTCACAGGATGCATAGCCGACAAATGGGACAATCGGGAAGTTCTCACGAAACGTTCTGGGTTTCTTCGGATCGCGGGCTGTCGCGCGACGCCTATACGTATGTCTACGTACCTAGAAACGAGGCAAACGATTAGCAGGCGTTGCTGTAAAGGTCGGATCGAGAAATCTATCGGTAGATTGCAATTTCCTGTTAAGACGAGACTTATTTTTCGACTCGTTGTGGCAAAGTCGACGGTAAAAAGACTGCGCATAGACGTCGAAATTACGCTCGCGGGAGAAAAATGACGGTGGCCAGGAGGGCCAGTCGGCGGATGCCAGAGGTACGGGGAGAAATATTGTCGTAGGCTCGCAGAGTTTTATCTAGAAGACGCTTTCGCTCGGCCGTTTCAACGTCACCGAAATATCCGCATCCACGCACGATTTACACGCCGTGGCGGGGAACGGGGAACGAACCGAACCGAACCGAACTCTTACTTTCCTTCATCGGTTCACGCGCGATGGTTCCTTTCCGTTGTCGGGGAACGTGTCGGCCGTCACGCGGCCCGGCCCGATGTCCACGCTCCTCCGCGTCCGATAATTAAAAAGAACAAACCGATCCGCATCGGGTTTTCGCGGCGCGATAATTTGACCACGGTCTCCCGCAGAAACGTGTCCCGTTCCGCGCGACAATTACGGAATTACCGGTAATTGGGGAGACCGAGAAATTTATGGGGTACGCGGGAGCCATTTTACACCATTACGCGCGCAATGATATCGCGCGGGGTAAAAACATGCCGACCGTTGTATCGTAAATCGTGGATTAAGAAACTCTCGAGCTTGGGCTGCGTTTTGTCAATTTTTTTCGACGAGGCTGCCTTTCGTAAGGGTTGGCAATTTATTCGATCGCTGCGAGGGGCTAATCGAAGATAACGGGTTACGGTGGGTTTTGTCGTTTCAGAAATTATTTTACTGTTTCTATTCTGCGTCTATTTTGTCGACTTTGTATAAACTATGCGTTTAAAAACATTTGTTGAGAAGAAACGGTAAAACGTTGCTCGAAACAATATATCCGAGCAGCTTATTTCGAAAGCGATATAGATTCGATTTACAGCGGTGTAAAAAGCAAAGAACAGCTGCTTCCATGGCACTTAATTCCAGAAAGAAAGAACTTTTCCATGTGCCATAGCAATTAGAGACTCCCTGGAAGCCCTTTGAAGTTGAATCGCGGATGATTCAAGCGAATTCGCACGTTCGCCAATCGATTTGCTATCCACGAGGTCGTATTAATCGTTTAACGCGGGTGTTAATGAAAAGGAACGTCGGCCGTTACGTTTCAGCTCGGAAGAGACACGCGAGGCGTCGCAAGAATTTCTAAATCGATCGCGTCATCGCTTCGGCATCGATCGGTGAGCGTGCAAACGGAGCAAAAAGGCTGTTGTTCTTCGAAAAATAGTTGCTCGTCGAGGGACACGCGGAGAATTCGATCCCGCTGGAACGACCGGCTCAGCCTAAGGCCTCGAGCCTAAAGGATTAGTCGCGAGGAATTTCGCGAAATCTGTTCGCTGTCGCAACGAATTCCCCGCGCTCTCCAGCCGGTGTTTCGCGCGTTTTACGCGTTTTACGCGTCCCGGTCCTTGAACGGCCCTATCGCCGAAACGGATGTGAACGTTCCGAGTTCCGACGGCGCGGCGTTACGTGTGAGAAAACATTTGCACAAGGATATTACGCGACCGCGAACGGCGCACGGACATTGCGATCGTTGGAAAACCCGGTCCATTGGACGAAACACTATCGGCGGAAAATCCTTTTCCTCCTCCGAGAAGAATGGCTGGGAAAGAGAGCCCGATCGTTTCGTTGCTTAATTAGTTTTCTTTCGAACGCGGCGAAGGCTGCGAAGGTTCTGCCGAAGGAAGCTGTTCGAACGGAACATTTTAAACGGCGGTTGCTCTAATCGTCCTGGAAATCGCTGCGAACCGTCGGGAAGTACCGCCATCGACTTCCGCGCGAAATAGGAAGTAGAGAACTTTCGGTGAAATTGTAGCTGTCCGAAAAGTAGATCTTCGGGCAACGAGGCGCGCGAAAGGGGGACAGGGACAGGAACCGGCGGATTTTCGATCCGGAGAGAGATTTGGCAGTCTTCTGGTTGCCGAAAACGTTTCCTCCGCACCGGCCACCGCGCCGATTTGTCGTGCACTTTCACCGGCGCTTAAATAATAATTCGTGGTGTAACCATATTTTGGCGCGCGGACGGGTTCTTCGAGCAGCGAGAGTGTTCTAAATAAAATATTGTAACGGCGCGGTGTAATAATAATGCGGCGACTCGTGCGACGAACGTTTACGCGTTCCGTACCGTGGACCGCGTGCCCGGTTATAATTTTACACCGTAGATTTTTCTGGGAATCATCGTTTTCTCGGATCACGGGAGAATCGACCTTCGCGCGAATCGAAGCGATCCGTCTCGATGCAATTTTTTACGATCGATCGAATTAGTTTAAGAATCATCGGCGGCACAGCGATACGGCGAAGAAAACCTGGTGTAAATTAATTTTCCCACGGGTTTAAGCTGCGAATTATTAGCGACGGCTTACGAGATAGAATGCGGCTGACGAGTACTTTCCAATTACCCACACTCGGCTCGATTGGATATCGATTTCTTCTCGATTTCTTTCGCTCGGATCCCCGCGGCCCGTTTTCCCCGATCTACGGCGACAACGTATCGGCATCGTCGCCGAAAAATCAACCGATCCGCACGGCTTTTCTCTTCGTGCTCCTGTTCGGAGACACAATGGCCCCCGTTTATTCTGCCCCTTTTCTTCTCTACGCGTAATGGCCGCGGTTAATTGTCCGAAATCGTTTCCCAGCCGCTCGAGGGAGCGAGCAAACCGTGCAAAATCACGGGCCGAGACATCTTTGAAACTGGCTCGCGGAAGACGAGAAGAAACTCTTTGTTCCGCTGTTAATTACCTTGTTCTTTGTTGCTTCGCATCGAACATTATGACGGAACTGAGATTTTCCCAAAACTAGCCCGATTCTCCCGCTCTTACCGATAAAAAGATCGTTAGCAACCGCGTCGAACAATGGGCATGGGACTTTAACGAAGAAGCGGTGCAGCGAATGAAATTCGTGGAAATTAAGGAGATTCTCGATTCGTATGGCTCTGTATAAAAGCTGTCCGTTGGATCCTTCTTTCGGCGGAGGAAACGGCCGATAGGCGGAAAGACCGATATTAGCTATCGATGAAAACAGGAATGGCAGGAAATCTTCGGCCACGCGAAAAAGACCTTGGACCCTTTGGCGTCGTTTAAGAAGTTCGAGCGACGCGAACGGGAGCAGAAGCAGGAACAGGAACAGGAACACGGAGGAAGAGAAGCAACGTGTCGGAAGATCGGGTCGTTCGATGGGTTGTGTCGCGCGTCGTTTACCTACGCCGATGTCGATTTAACGAAGAACTTTCCACCCGCGCGACAAATAATAATTCAAACTTTCTTTCTCCGTGTTCGCCTCCTCCGAGGAACGATGTCGACACTCTCGATGAACCCTGGGCAATCTGTTTCGCGCGATTACCAATGCCTTTTTTTAGGCAGGCCCACGCACGACCCTCGTCGATTCGTGCCGATTACTTAACAATTTCCCCACTCGTCGAATCGTTAGTCCTTATTTTTAGAATTCCTGCAGCTCGTGCTACTTTCTTTTTACGGGCTCGCGTCGCGGTACATTGGGATCGTCTCGTCGAACGATCGTTCGAGCGAAAATCGACATTTTTCTTTTCGAAAATCTGCGTCACCGGCATCGACGCCAACGATCTTACCACGAAACTACCGAACGTTGACAGATATTCTCCCGCTCGACGAATCCAATAGGCAAGAGGATTTCCGAGAAGACGACGGATCCGCTACCGGTGTCCGCCGCGCCGATCGAAGGACGCGCCGGTATACGGTATCCTTCCGATCGCGTCGGTCGATTTTCCCGTTCGAGGAGTCGAGGAGTCGAGGAGTCGAGGAGACAGAGCGAAGAGCCAGCCTTGAAGTCGAGCCGTGCGGCGTTGGGTGCTGGTGGGGGCCACGCGAGAGAGTTTTACCTACCGAAACGAAACTACTCGCCGCGCCACGCCGCTCCACGCCGCTCCACGCCGCTCCACGCCGCTCCACGCCGNGTCCGCCGCGCCGATCGAAGGACGCGCCGGTATACGGTATCCTTCCGATCGCGTCGGTCGATTTTCCCGTTCGAGGAGTCGAGGAGTCGAGGAGTCGAGGAGACAGAGCGAAGAGCCAGCCTTGAAGTCGAGCCGTGCGGCGTTGGGTGCTGGTGGGGGCCACGCGAGAGAGTTTTACCTACCGAAACGAAACTACTCGCCGCGCCACGCCGCTCCACGCCGCTCCACGCCGCTCCACGCCGCTCCACGCCGCTCCACGCCGCGCCGGAGAAAGTGAGAGCCGTGGTAGCGGACGGCGGGCTACGACGAGCAGGCGACCAGGGCTCCTCGAGACGAGAGGATAGACATGGTGCGAGCCCTCGATCGCGTGGATCCTCCGAACCCTTCGAGACAGTCTTCCGGTTGATCGGTTTCGCTCGACCCGCAAACCGAATCTCCGATCCGTCCGTCGGAAAACTGGATTCTTCGCCCGGCTGCTCACCGCTCGAAGAAAGCTTCGCATCGGCTTCGCAGTGACTTCGACCAGCTCCGCGCAGCTCCGATCCTCTTCGAGCAGCCGCGAACCGCTTCGCCTCGATCCGCCGAAGGAAGAATCCGCCAGCTGGCCGGGAGGATACAGTGCCGGAGAGTCTAGCCGTCGCGGGGACCATGAGGAAATCTCGGTGACCGTGAAGCACCGCAGGCAGCGTGCGGTACCGGGAAAAAGATCGCGATCGATAGGTCGTGGCCGCGAGTGACCGATCCGTGCGCTGAACCGGGCCACGGACTCGACATAGCTTCGCTAACATTGTTGTGTTATGGTGGTGAGGACTGTTCACCGTAGGCTTGGCAGAAAACGAGGAAGAAGAAGAGCGGACGGATCCGAGCGAGTTGGCCCCGAGGAGACGCAGGGACGCTGAGACGGTCGTTGCCAACAAGGATTGTTTCGGTCGGAGAGATCGGTAAGTCGAAAACGGGAAAGAATCGCTCGAAACGATCCGCTGTTTCGAATTTTTGCTTTCGTTCGTCGGATCGAATTTCATCGCATTAATCGACGCGGCCGATTCGTTTCGACCGCGGAGGGAACGCGCGATGCCGAGATTGTCGCGATACAGTTCGAAACGAACGCGTGAACATGTAATTAGTGCGCGGAGCTCGAAGAAGCTTCGATCAACTTCTTCGAAGCGAGAAGTTGCGGAGAGAGTGCCGTTGGTCGAATGTTTATTTATGAAAAATTCTAAGACGATAGACCCCTTTGGACCGTAACGTTTGTCCGATTGCTGTACGCGTTTCAATTAGAATGAAACAAATTGGTAACGTTGACGCATCGAATTACAATCTTCCGGCGATGTTTACCATTTCGCACAGACGAGGGTACAAGATCCACCGTCCAATTATCAATTTCTAATAAGACCGAATGAAAATTTGATAGACCGTCTCGGCAAATTGAAAGATTGCGAGTAGAACGAATAATTGAACGATCGGCGAGTCACGACGAGGCTCGCAGAAGCAAAACAATGGTCGGACGACGATCGGAAAGATCGAGTGAAAGTGAGAAGGTCTGGATCAGCTTTTGAAAGAAAGCCCGTCCCTGTGACAAGATGGATAAACGAAGCTAGCGATTTTAATGCCAGGGCGGGCCAACGATTGACAAATCAATGGCCTTCTCCGTCGTCCTGGCAATGGAAATCTATCGCTGCTCGCCGTCAAGCATCCCGGCCGATTCGCGTTTCCACGAGATCGCGAATCAACGAACCGCAGAATAAATGCTCCGACAGTCGAAAGACCGAATCGAAGCGCTCGAAGCTTTTGTCATTCCGCCAACGCGTGCGTCGATATCGCCGATANCGAAACTACTCGCCGCGCCACGCCGCTCCACGCCGCTCCACGCCGCTCCACGCCGCTCCACGCCGCTCCACGCCGCGCCGGAGAAAGTGAGAGCCGTGGTAGCGGACGGCGGGCTACGACGAGCAGGCGACCAGGGCTCCTCGAGACGAGAGGATAGACATGGTGCGAGCCCTCGATCGCGTGGATCCTCCGAACCCTTCGAGACAGTCTTCCGGTTGATCGGTTTCGCTCGACCCGCAAACCGAATCTCCGATCCGTCCGTCGGAAAACTGGATTCTTCGCCCGGCTGCTCACCGCTCGAAGAAAGCTTCGCATCGGCTTCGCAGTGACTTCGACCAGCTCCGCGCAGCTCCGATCCTCTTCGAGCAGCCGCGAACCGCTTCGCCTCGATCCGCCGAAGGAAGAATCCGCCAGCTGGCCGGGAGGATACAGTGCCGGAGAGTCTAGCCGTCGCGGGGACCATGAGGAAATCTCGGTGACCGTGAAGCACCGCAGGCAGCGTGCGGTACCGGGAAAAAGATCGCGATCGATAGGTCGTGGCCGCGAGTGACCGATCCGTGCGCTGAACCGGGCCACGGACTCGACATAGCTTCGCTAACATTGTTGTGTTATGGTGGTGAGGACTGTTCACCGTAGGCTTGGCAGAAAACGAGGAAGAAGAAGAGCGGACGGATCCGAGCGAGTTGGCCCCGAGGAGACGCAGGGACGCTGAGACGGTCGTTGCCAACAAGGATTGTTTCGGTCGGAGAGATCGGTAAGTCGAAAACGGGAAAGAATCGCTCGAAACGATCCGCTGTTTCGAATTTTTGCTTTCGTTCGTCGGATCGAATTTCATCGCATTAATCGACGCGGCCGATTCGTTTCGACCGCGGAGGGAACGCGCGATGCCGAGATTGTCGCGATACAGTTCGAAACGAACGCGTGAACATGTAATTAGTGCGCGGAGCTCGAAGAAGCTTCGATCAACTTCTTCGAAGCGAGAAGTTGCGGAGAGAGTGCCGTTGGTCGAATGTTTATTTATGAAAAATTCTAAGACGATAGACCCCTTTGGACCGTAACGTTTGTCCGATTGCTGTACGCGTTTCAATTAGAATGAAACAAATTGGTAACGTTGACGCATCGAATTACAATCTTCCGGCGATGTTTACCATTTCGCACAGACGAGGGTACAAGATCCACCGTCCAATTATCAATTTCTAATAAGACCGAATGAAAATTTGATAGACCGTCTCGGCAAATTGAAAGATTGCGAGTAGAACGAATAATTGAACGATCGGCGAGTCACGACGAGGCTCGCAGAAGCAAAACAATGGTCGGACGACGATCGGAAAGATCGAGTGAAAGTGAGAAGGTCTGGATCAGCTTTTGAAAGAAAGCCCGTCCCTGTGACAAGATGGATAAACGAAGCTAGCGATTTTAATGCCAGGGCGGGCCAACGATTGACAAATCAATGGCCTTCTCCGTCGTCCTGGCAATGGAAATCTATCGCTGCTCGCCGTCAAGCATCCCGGCCGATTCGCGTTTCCACGAGATCGCGAATCAACGAACCGCAGAATAAATGCTCCGACAGTCGAAAGACCGAATCGAAGCGCTCGAAGCTTTTGTCATTCCGCCAACGCGTGCGTCGATATCGCCGATACGATATCTCGAATAAACGTCGTCGCTAATAATCGGTATTTTTGCTCGTTCGATTCGAGGAGAACAGAAGCGACTTTAAAATGTTTTCTCGGCGTTTCGCGGAGGATATCGAGATCGCGACGTTCGCGACCGTTTCTCCGGGCGAGAAGATCCGATCCGTTGGTCGGAGAAAAAGTGAGATTTCACGATGGCTCGTGGCCATCGAAATCTTTCGACTTTCCGGCCTCGTAGCCAGTGAAAGTACTTCCGTTCGGTTCCAAAACGAGACGACGGTCAGGCCAGGGGGACGAGCATCAAGGATGCACGCTTCGGTACCGTTCCCCGGATTGCCTAAACGCGCCGCTACCACTCCCCCCCGGTTTACGTAACACCGTTCGATGGAAGAGACTCCGGGGCCATCTTGTCTTCGCCTTCGAACTTCGATTTCCCATTTCGGATATCCCGAGGAATTCGATGGTGAGCCGAGGATCGTTCGGAGTTGTTCGATATTTAGGCGACGAACGATCCGAGAGGAATCGATGGAGTTCGAGACCGTTTAGTAAAAAACCAAAGATAACCCAGTTTCGTTCTTTCCACGACGACTGACTCACCTTTATCTTTCGTTCTAGAAGCCGAAGATAAGGATTTTGTCTCTGTTCGAACAGGAAGGTATTCTTCCGGCCGACCGAGAGAGCGATTTTCGCGTCCGAATGGACGCGTCTCGACCGAATAAATAATCGAAAGGAGTACCCCTATAGTTCTATGATTGCGAGTTGGGAACGTCGGACAGCATGGAACGCCGTTGGAACGTAACTCGATGGGTTATCGTCGGCTTTCCGGCCGGCACCATGGTTCTCCATGAACGTCCGCGACGCCGCTGGTTCTGCGAGCAGGTCTGCTGGAGAGCACGTTACTCGATCCGGCACACTTTTTCTTTATTTTCATCTCGCCCGTTGCTGGGATTACGCTGTTTACGAGCGAATTAATTTCTCCGTGAAAGTAACAATGCGGATCGCGTTCCGCGCTCGAGCGAGACCCTCGAACTCGCGAGGGCCTGACTAGCGTGCGTGCAGAAAACGCCGAGATCGCGATATCGCGGTCTCCGAGGAATGCAGAAGAATTTTCGAAAGACGGACGAACGTGGAGGAGGAAGAGAACCGATCGCGGTGCAACGAAGGAGCGTAGAGAAAAGAACATAGAAATATACTATATATTCGTTACACAATGGAAAGTGTTCGTCACGAAAGGGGTATCGGCGAACTAGACCGCGAAGAAGCGTAGCTCTTTCAAGGCCACGAAGAAAGAGCAGAAGCTGTGACGTTCAGATTTCTTCGAACCGGTTTTGCTTGGAAAGGTTGCGCGCCGCTCGTCCAGCTCCGCTCTGCTCCGCTCTGCTCCGCTTCGCTTTGCTCGCGGGTGTCCGAGCCGTATCGCATCGGGAGGCGTTAGAGGACCGGGGCGACGCATTTTTATCGAAAGTCGGATGAAAAACGAGAGTCCGCCGAGCGTTTCCGGCTCCAGCGGACGCCATCTCGATTCCTGGTTGTCGAACACCGTTCTCGAGCGAACGCTTTCTTCCGCGGTCGGGCAATTAACTCTTACCGATTCTCATTAGCGGCCATCACCGACGGGTACCGATGGCTCTTCCCTCTTGCTCAACAATTTTATGCTTCTCGATCTCCAACTTCCGACGAAGGAACTTATTTTCACAGGTTCGTTCGACACCGTGACAGAAATTCGATTTCATGTGACGCTTGGCGGAAAAATCGATGACACGCTTTGCAGCTGCCTAACCATGTTCGAAAAATGCTAGAAGCGATCGGAGAGGCCTTATCAATCTCAAGAGAAGAAAGCTGCGCGGTATCGAGGCGTTGCAAGTTCTCGCGACGAGGTTTTTGATAAATTGCCGACTGGTCGAGGCCCGTCGAGGAGATTACCGAAGATTTCATCGCTTCCAGGTTCCAACGGGTTGAGGGGGGGGGACGAGGGGAGGGGCCCGGGGACCGGAACCCGAGGCACGTACGAAAACAAAATTTCACGCGCGCCTCTTATTTTGGCTTTTTCTCGGTTCGCTTTCGGCGAAAGTAAACGGCGCCCGTGCGCGCCGCAGAGAAAGTAATGGATCGTGCTCTTAAATGTCGATTCGCAGACCGTGAGTTCGAGTTGCGGACGACGCGACGCGACGCGACGCTCGGAGGCCGTGTGGCGCCAATCGGCCCGGTCAGCGATCGAGCAGGATCGAGGAGGATCGAGGGTACGCGTGCGAAGCTGTGGAAAGAGAGGCGAAGCGTCGTCGGTGAGAAGAATTTTCTGGCGCTCTGCCGACGAATAAATGCGAGCAAAAATTAAGAATCGGCCGGCGACTCTCGCGAAAGAGTCCCTGGAACAAATTTAACCAGCGACGAAAAATGTTCTCTCGACTTCGAGAATCCGATCTTCCGAGATCAAGCAATCGACGAAACTAGGTCCCGGCGTTTTGATCGACGCTGTACACGCTCGCGACGCACGTGGGCTTTCACGAACAGCTGGGAAACGATGGTACAATTATGTACGTGCCGTACATGTCTGTGTACCGTGTACACGGGAGAAGAAACTCTGTACTTTCGAGGATCGGCACCGTGCACGATAGAGTCGGGTGACTCTAGCCGTAGACGAGGAAGGTGAAAGTTCGTCCGCCTTGTTCGAGATCCTCGGCTTCGTCGTTTCATCCTCTCTTTTTCTCCTTCTAGCCACCTTTCGGATCGCGTCCAGGGAAGCACGATATCGTCGCGATCGAGCAATCGTCCGTCGATCGCAGACCGACGACGTCGAGTCTGCCAACACTTTTTCCCTGAATCTCGAGCGGCGAACGCGCCTCCAACGACTGCCATTTTGTTTTTTACCTTCTCCACCGAATGGCTGTTGAATCGCGGACACGGCCGAAGTTCCAGCGCGAAAAATATCATTTCTGCCGATAATGGAAGACGGAAAAGCGAAGAGAAGGGAGCGAAAATTTCAATCAATTTCTTCTACTCGAAACTCGTTGCTCTATTAGGATAAAGGTAATCTTAATTGGCATTCCCAACGATATTCTAGATATCGAAAACATGGAATCAACGTGGCCGATTCGATCGTAAAAGGAAGTTTCCTCTCGACAGATACGAGAACTGTTCCGAAAAGCTGCCGATTACCATGTTATCGGGACGTGGAAACATTAAGGAGCACCGTTGAATCTAGCTACTTAGTTGGACATCGGAGCGATTTATCGATGCGCGTTTCACTTTTCTTACGATTCTCTTTTTCCCTTTATCCGTTTCATTCGTTTTCTACCGCAGTGCGTGGTTGCGCAGCGTCGACGAGTCCGGTAGAAATTTGCTACGTTTTTCATATTTTCTAGTCGCGCATGGGATCCGATATTTGCACACAATGGGCGACACAGAAGACGTTTTCTCGATTTCCCATCGTGTCCGATGGTTATCGGTGTTTCCAGCGGACGAGGAAAAGAGAGCAAAAGGAGCGCCGATCGTTCGTAATCGTCGGCGCGGGGAGGGCTGGCCGACGACGGCGTTGGAATCGGAATCGGAATCGGAATCGGAATCGGAATTGGTAGCGTGAACGTGAACTTCACACTGTCGTGGAGATGCAAGAGCTGCACTTTCACTTCTGCTGGATCTACACGCAGAGCCAATGACCTACTAACACATCGAACCGTTCACTCGTCGCCGCGACGCTCGCTGCAAGCTGCAAGGACGTTCGATTCACCGATCCTCGTCGAGCCGTTCGAATGTCATTTTTTTCGATCGCAAATATCGCGCCAGAAAGAGCATGCCCGACTTTTGACTCGCGTCGTTTCGATCGGCGAGTAAACTGTGACACACGCGGTTGCGAAACGTCCGACAGTTTCTACTAGAAATCTTCCCACCTTGCTTCCGCGAAAGGTACCCGGAAGGATGGTCCGCGGATCCAGGATCTTCGATTTCCCCCGGACGATCTCCGTCGATCTTCTTTTCGGACGGCTGGACGAACGCGTTGTTTGCGTCACGCGTCGCCCCGTAACGGGTGAAAGTAAAAAGAGCTCGACAGAGAACCCGGAACTCGGAACTCGGATCCAAAGGCCACTCGTCCGATTATGCCGGCGGACATCGGCATCGGCGCCGAGACGAGCCGAGACGAGACGAGACGAGACAGCATCCCGTCGGGGAGGAGTGAAAACGCCGCCCGAGTTTTATGCTCTCGCGCCCCGATTAGGCAACCGACCGTCGCGTCGCGTCTCGTCGTGCCAGCCGCATTAATCGCCGGTTCGACCACGTTCAGGACAATTTAACCATCTAACGGCCCTTGGCCCCGCGTCAGTTTCGTAACGGATTCTAAATCTCCAAGGAAAAACAGGCGCGATCGTTTGAACATCGAGAGATCCGCATCCGCGGTTTCAAGGCTGCGAGAGTAGGAATCGCTGGACGGATCGAATCGTCTTGGGACATAGGACAGGGATCGAGGAGGATAGGATCGATTCTTGGGCAAGGCGAGAGCTCGCATGCTCGAGCTTCGATGCAGCTTCCTCGAAATAGTCTACGGAACAGAGATCCGCGGTGTTTTAACGACATCCGTTTTGTAAGAACCGCTGGAACTATTTCACGCATCGAAATGACGGGAACGACGGCAGTAATATCGACGGACGACGAGCGTTCGTTCGATGTCGTAACCGAGAGATTTTACGATCGGCTTTTCTATGATGACACGGGCATAAAATGTCTACGAGCACCATGGGCTGGGGTTTCACGATCGGAGAGAAAGTGGGAAAACCAGTTCCCCGCCTGGAAAATATTCCGGCCATTCGGGCAGCAGGATTCTTCTCGATGACCGTGGAAAGAGTTTAGGCGAGCCTGGTTCTGGACGGGTACGAGCGGTTTTCGATCGACTGGAAATACTTTCTTCCAACCTGATCGAAGGCCGATTTTTATGCCGCTTCGCGCGGACGCTTCGGGGGGTCTTGGAGTTTCTTAAAAGAGGAGCTTTCCGTTGACGGATCTGGTCGATTAAAGAAATAACGAGGAACGAATGAAACGGTGTGGACGGCTCGCGAAGAGTCCGTCCACGTTTCCGCCAACGAGACGATGGCGCAACGCTTTCGAACGCGCTAAAACGATGAACAAACTGAACCATTAAAACGCTCTTGCATAATCGCGCCGATTTCAAAATGCTGCCGCGTTCGACCGACACGATATAAAAACCAGCCGGAAGGAACGCGACGAAGTTGCTGAAACTCGTTTCACCGATCGCGAACCCTAGGATTTCGGCTCGTCCGATTTGTAAACACGAACTGCTCGAGCTCCAAAAATTCTCGATCTATGCAACGCGACGATCGAGATCGAAGCAACGAACCGGGCATTCGAGAAATCGCTTTTGCCAGGTTTCGAAGTAGCTAAAGCGTTGCGAGCTTCGCCAGATTCGCTCGCGAAAGTGAAAAATCATCGAGCATCGTAATGGCCGGGGCCGATCACGATTCGTCGCGTGATCCATCGTCAACGTTGCCACAAGAAAGAAGGATTCGTGTCGGCGCTGACTCGATCGTCTGCGTGTTCCGTGGCTCGTTGAGCTCGATCACGCGACGTTTTCAGGCGCAGCTTTTTTCTTCTTTTTCTGAAAATTGTAGCTAACGACCCGAAAGATTGGGGGAGCGGTCGGCGAGGCGGTGAAACGCCCGTGGATCGCGATCGATAGAAATCATCGTCGTCGTCGACGTCGGCCGCTGGACAAAGAAAAAGGGGTCCGGGCTCGGTGTTAAAGATCTCGCGCGAACAATTGAAAAATAGACGGGGATAAGGCGCGATCGTTCCAACAGATTTTCCAGCGTCCCCTCGTCCTTCTCGATCCGGATCGTTCGCCCGTTCCGCCGCGATCGCTTCTTATCCGCAGCATCTGTGTTTGCTCTGTTTACTCTGCCGATACGCGGCATCGAGTCGAACATCGTTTAATTTGCGCGCGTTAATTGTGAAATCGCGACGGCGGAACGGGGCGCGTTGCGAACGATACGGTTGTTCGAATGCGAGAACATCGATCTACCGGATCTTGCCCATGAACTGTACTCGATAGTGGATCTTTACGAAAGCGTAGGCGTTCGCGTCGTTTTGCGTACAAATTCCGAGATTTGGATAGATAAACGACGACGCATGGTACATGGAAATGGAAATGTGAAGAAAAGTCAACTCGTGCGGGGGAATGCGGGAGAATCCAGGAAAATGCAGGAAAATTCAGAAATTGATCGGACCGACTGTTTCCAGGGAAACGATGGGTGCAGCGAGATCCAGCCAATGGTTGCTACTGGGAATAGTGTTCGTGATCTCCTCGAGCCGCGCCACCAGCCAAACGGAACTGGTCTCCGGTTCCACGTTGAGCAGACCGGAAACGTTGTTCGCCTCGATCGAGACCGAGACCGAGACCGAGGCCGAAATCGAGACCGATTCGAACCGGACGGAATCGTCGAATTCGACGAGAAGGCGTCGGTACGTTCGGTTCCCCAGTGGCCCGGGGGGCTACGCTTTCGAAGGCAGCGGCCCCCCGACGGGAAGGAACATCGGCGTGCCCCCGGGTCTGCGGTTCCCTTCGTGGAGGCAGCAGAAGTCGCTATGGCGAAGCCCCGTCTCCGAATTCAGCCGTCCGGTGATGGGCCATCGGACGCCTCGACTGATCTTCAGAGACAACGACTTTCCACCGGCGGTGGGTGGCAGCGCACCCTCCTTCTTCCAGCAGTCGAACCACCTGCCCGACTTCGAGGACGATGTCAGAGGTAACGCGATCGAGAACAGAATCGATCTTTGTCGGAAGACGTTGTCCGCACTTTTTTCGTTCATTTCTCGCACGGACCGAGAATTCAACAGAGTTCTCCAACGTTCCGTCACGATTTATCCTGCAGCGTTGCGAACGAATGCAAATCCGGGTCACAACTTTTCTAATTGGACGACTGTTTTTCTCGGGGATTATCCGAGAGGATCGGAACCCTTTGCTCCGCGTAAATGGAACATTCTTTTAATTGGCAGAGCTATTTTCGTGCAATCGAGATGCGTGCGTTTGACGAGAACGCCGGTGGAAATAGAATCAGAGGAGGACGTTCCATTACGGTTATTGGAATTTTGCAAGATTCGCTCCGTTCCTTGCTGAATTTAATTCGAGAAACGCGTCGACGAACGATAAACGAGCTCGCTCTCGGTCTCGTTGCGCCAAAAATCATTCTCGATTCTCGCTTCGTCGAAAATAAAGATATCCATCGTGCTGCGCGAACGTTGTTGCAACACCGTGGGCAATCGAACCGAAACCAGAACGCCCAGCGTGAGAAACTAAATGACCGAACATAAAATGATACGATAAACTTCCTCGGCGTTGCAATCGTTATGCAAAGTAACACAATTCACCCGCATCCCAGCCCATAATCGGCCAGATAATTCCCAGCTTTCGTCATCGCTCCCAAAGAGTTTCCCAAACGATTTTTACCCTATTGTCCCTTGTCCGGGGCAAAATTATTTCGGCATCCTCTTAGAAACATTAATTTCCAGTAACCGAGTAACCGTTTCATTGTCCGAACACCCGTGTTTCTCCCGATCGGTTCGCGGTTAACGAGCTTCCACCGTGCATATTTCGTCGCGGAATTTTTCGCGACAGAGATTAAGAGGTGATTTCTTGTTTCAGATCATCGAAAGCAAACGCTCGACGATTACCCTAGGTTAGAGTCAGGTACGTTCCCCATCCAGCAATCCGCGTAGACCGCGGGGTCCGAGGGAAAATGTCGGCGTGGAACCGATCGCGACGACGATGACTCGCGCACCTGTCGAAAGCCCCGGTTTCGCAGCGTGCCTCCGGATTCCGTTCGTCCGGCCGTGTCCGGTCTTTCGTTAATCGGCGCCCGGTGAAACCGATACGCGCGCAACACGCGTCGTGTCGTTGCATCGCGCCTCTCGATTTCGCGTTTCTCTCGGATAATCGTAAATTAAGCCGGCCAACCCGGCCACCGCAATATCCTAGCCGGCGCGGTGGCCTGTCGCAACGATTGTGACAGTCGGTCCCGTTTCCGTTTCCGTCGAATCGACGCGACGCGACGCGGTGACCCCGGGGTCCGCGCGCGCATTCGTTACGACAGACGGACGAGAACCTTTCCTGTCGTCGTTTTACGCTCGTCGTTTCGTTCGCGCGATTCTCTCGCACCCGCGCAGGCTGTCCCATTCGAATTCGTCTCCGAAACCGTTTTGCAAACGTTGGAATCACGCGAATCCGATCTGTCCTGTATTTTTGCTAATTAACGTGCAAAGGCCGCGCGAGAGTTAATTTTACCGTCGACAAATTCGTGGATAACCGTGTTCGAGCTAATGGTACCCGTGTTAGGAAGTTGGTTGGTACACCGAGGATTTTTACGCATCGGCGAGTTTTTAGGATACGCGAAGATTAAGATAGGATACTTCTTCCCTTTGTAATTTGCGCGAGACGAGGATCTCGGTAACCATCGGGTTTACAGTTTTGCGAAATTGCTGTGTTTCGACGGTCAAAGTTTGCGCCGCGTCGACGACGATAGTTGTTGCTGGAGAACGCGCGATCGTGGATTTTGCCATCGCGGACGGTTCGAAAGACGCGATCGATTTAAATGGGGCAGCCGGTAGCGAAAGCCTCGCATTTTGCCGAGATTGCTCGACCGTATCCTCTTGAGTATGAAACACCCGAAGCTAGGCTTGGAGTAATTGTAGCCCGAGAACAAGGTCGGTTAAAATCGAAGAAAAAACGGGGGAGTAAATTCGGTATTTCGGCGTTTTCGTTGCCTCCTGGAACGAAAGGAAGAGACGAGAGAGCTAGCTAGGGTTAAAAAGGGTGAGCGAGAGAGAGAGAGAGAGAGAGTGCCGAGAGGAGAGAAAGAGAGAGAACAGTTTAGCCTGTTTTGTGCAGAGCCGCGTCAACAAAACAGACCGCTGTGGAAGGGTGACGATTCGTTGTGCGCAGACGGACGAACCTGCGAATTTTTTCTAATGTGCTGGATGTCGGCCGGCCTATTGGACGGCAGTTGCGGCGGCATTATGTTCGCTTGTTGTCAGCGGCAAGAGCCGAAAGGTAGCTCCGATTATAACCTGATCGAGGCACCTAGAGATCAGTCTCAGCCGCTTCCGTTGGACAGTTACACGGAGACCGCCAACGACGATCGTAAGTCCTTCCTACTGAAGCATGCAATCCGCATTCTTGCACCAGCATGAGCACAAAACGCTGTACTCTTCTTCCGCCTCCTCTTCTGTCGCCGTCGTTTTCCTTTCCTGCCTGCGCTCGAACGTTTTCACGGCCTACCCTTTTTCTCGGACGATTCGGCTCGTCCGTTCGGATCCGTCGCACCGCGATTCGCGATTACCAAGCCCTAAAAATCTTGAAAGATCGCGGGAATACCAGGACGTTTGTACCGCGAGAAGGCTTTTCCGCTACCGCTGCAGGGACGATCGAAATCTACGCGATCACGCGGTACAAATGTAACAGCGTCCAGGCGAATCGGTTTAGAAGTCGCGCGAGCTTTACCGGCTCTCGAGAAAAGCTGCGACGATCTCGGAAAAGAAGTGTCATAATTTTCAATCGCAAACCATTCGAATCGATATAGCCGTTCGAACGATTCGAGATTACAGCTCTCAGGAATTCTCTGATTTCACTCTCACCTGCTCTAGAGTCTCGCGTCTTTCAGCACTTTCGCACCTTCCTTGTTGTCGAAGCGACCAGCATGCTCGATATACCTGTCGCCGATCCTTGCTACCGATCCTCGGATTACAAGAGCTCCCTGTTTTCCCTTTTTCCCAACGCGACGGTCGTTGCTTCTCTTCGTTACTTCTCGTCTTGAAATTCGACACTCGCGCTCTCCTCGGCATGCCGAAACGTTCTCCACTTTCGAATCAGCCTCTCGGTACTCGCACTTTCCTCAGCATGCCGTCGGACGTTGCCACTTTCTCTATTCGCACCTTTCGAAGCATGAAAGTACGCGCACCGTTCCCTATCCGTCGTCCTTCGTTCCCTTTTTTCAACCGATCAATCACGCACGAATTCTCCATTTTCCATTTTCCGATTCTCCGCACTCCATCGATTTCTTAACCGTTCCAATCGTTGCCAGTCGATCGATCTTGCATGCCGATTGCGACAACAACGAGTCCGATCCGCACGTTTCAGCCGGTTCCCGAAATTTCACGCGAGTCCTCCCTACTTCCGGTTCCTCTTTCTCGAGGAAAGTGTCCTTCGATCTTCTGCCAACGGTCCCCAGGATCTATTCTCGCGATCAAGAAGCAGGAGCCACGAGGATCGATCTGTACATACGTATCTTTCAACTTCGTGGAAGCAACTCGTTCGTGTCTCGACTTTTCTTTTCGATGCGATCCAGGAGGACGTCTTCGTTTCTGTCGTATACAGTTCGCACCGGATTACTCCAAGTCTGATTCGGTAACGTTAAGTTGGCGGAAACAAATGGCCTTCGAGTTCGCGATCGACGAGTCCCAACTGGCCAGAGACGATTTCCACCGATTTCGCAGCGTTTTCGACGAGCGTGGTGCTCGAAGAAATATCCAACGCGCGTCTCTCGCGCGAACGAGGCCATTTATTTCTCGCGAGTCTAACACGCTTGCTCCACAAGGATCGTTGGAAGCGTAACGTTCGACGATAAATATGCATAAAATCGATCGGATCGAAGGGGGGTTGTACGATTTTCCTCGGTTACTAACTCTTCCGGAAGTGCTCCGTTCGCGCACGTGTGCTAATTTTAAGAGGGGGTCCACGCCATTGTAATTGCAGGCTGCGGAATCCCCGCGTCGAAGCAAACCGCGCAGAGGAGGATCGTCGGCGGTGACGACGCCGGTTTCGGCAGCTTCCCATGGCAGGTCAGACTCGCGACGATCGATCGAGATCGATTTTTCCCCTCGAACGGTATCGCAAAGAACGCGTTCAATAGAGAAACTGTTCTAATTTCTCAGGCATACATCAGAATCGGGTCCAGCCGATGCGGAGGCACGCTCGTCAATCGATTTCACGTTGTCACCGCTGGCCATTGCGTTGCCAAGTGAGTAGACCTCTTTAAGATCGATCGGGTGGATTCGAGGGGTCGCGTCTATAATTTGTCCGTTTCGTTTGCCAGAGCGTCGGCACGCCAAGTTCAAGTGACTTTGGGCGACTACGTGGTCAATTCCGCCAGCGAGACGCTGCCAGCTTATACGTTCGGGGTCAGGGAGATCAGGGTGCACCCCTACTTCAAGTTCACGCCTCAGGCCGACAGGTGAGACGATCGACGATGTTTCCACTTGGGGGTGCCGCGTTTCTTAACCGATTCAAAATCCTGCAGAAACGCGACGTTCGAATCCCGGCACGGTTCGACGAATTCGAAGCTCGAAAACAAGACGAATAAAGAGAAATCTTGATTACACAGATTCGACGTGGCGGTTTTGCGACTGGATCGGCCCGTCCACTACATGCCTCATATAGCACCCATCTGTCTACCCGAGAAAAACGAGGATTTCCTTGGCCAATACGGTTGGGCCGCTGGATGGGGCGCCCTTCAGGCCGGTAAGTGAGCCGAAAAGGTGATTCGGGGTCGAATAATCGTGCGCTAATCGTTCGATCGAACAGGATCGAGGCTGCGCCCGAAGACGCTGCAAGCCGTCGACGTACCTGTGATAGACAACCGGGTCTGCGAGAGGTGGCATCGTTCCAACGGCATCAATGTTGTAATTTACGACGAGATGATGTGCGCCGGCTACCGCGGCGGCGGCAAGGACTCTTGTCAGGTGACCGTCGGATTCGGCGTTATCCTCGCATCGTTTAAGGATAGCTCGCCTTGGGTGTGACCGCCCGACAAACTGATTTTCTTAACGAATTCGTGTCTGCTCGTTCAGGGTGACAGCGGCGGGCCCCTGATGCTGGAGAAGACGGGTCGCTGGTACTTGATCGGTATCGTTTCTGCCGGTTACTCCTGCGCCCAACCGGGCCAACCGGGGATCTATCATCGGGTGGCGAAGACCGTCGACTGGATCACGTACGTGATCAACTCGTAGCCGGGATCGATCCGTCGAAAGTGGACGCTGTTCTCTGTGCGGTTGGGGGGAACTTTGCATGAAACAAAGTTTCCGACACGGTACTGGATACGGGTCTCTAACGCACCGGATCTACGGTGATCCGACGGATCTGGCGTCTGGCTGGTTGCTAAGAATACGGCCATTTCGTACTCGATGTAAATACGAAGTCGAACGGACCGATCTTGAGAGAGAATCGCGCCCGGAAGGGACCTTCTATTTTGTATAAAGTGCGGCGGTGTACCGTCGCGAATCGATTCTAATCTATATGTTTGTAACGCGTATCGTCGATACGACGCGCGCGCGTGTAAATTGTTGTATTTATCGTCGATCGCCGAGCGTTCGAGCGACGAACGTTCCCGTCGGCAACGATCGCTCGTCGCCTCGGTCCTCGATCGAGCGGATCGCGTCGACGCGAATATTTTGTAAATTAAGTGCGTGCGATATTTGTTTATATTCGCGCTTGATAAATGTTCGATTCCGACTCCATTGGCTTTTATCGAGGTATCGCAATCTCGTTTCTATCCCCTGGATCCCCGGATCTCTCCGACGAGGCATCGATCCTTGACAACTCTGAGACGTCCGACTCCGTGTCCTCGGTCCAATATTTTTGTAAAATTCGGAAAACCGGATCCTCCGAAGACAATGGATCCTCGCCTGTTCAACGTACTCGATTGGCTGTCCCAATTTTTCTCGACTGCGATTCGCAGGAAGCCACGAATCGCTGCGGAAGGACGACGCACAGGAAAGGAACACGCAGGTACGGAAGAAGAAAAGTCGTGTTACATGAAATACATACTTTGTTATTCGACAACCGCTACATCTCAACGTAAGCATAGCGTCGCAGGTAGTGGAACAACGCGCTTAAGTATTTATTTCCATTGCGTAAATAAAAGTACACACTTATCCTCGTCGTCCGCTCGAACGATAGCAATCGCGCGGGGACGAGGTTCGAGAGATCTTTCCGCGGCATCGCAGGAATGGCATTCCGCGTTTAAGTATGATAGGTTCGGATAAACTAGAGCTCGGTTACACGTCACCGTGATCGCACCCGTGAAAATAACCCACGTTTCCACCCCCGCGACGAGCGGAATCGTTCCGACGGGGTTGCTCGCCGCGAGAACTCGGGGAAACGCGTCGCCGATCGATTACCTACGAACTTCTCTAGTTGAAAACAAATCCATCCGGACGCGCGTCCGTCTATTAAAAAAAAAAAAAGAAAGAAGAAAACGAGGAAAGAGTGAACAAATTCGATCGCGCGGATTCTGGTTAGCTTAATTAAGTACCCGGAAGCGAAGACGCGAGGGCCAGGTTAGAAGCGGAACGTGCAGGCTGGCCCAGGGCTGCTACGAAGAAGCGAATTCTACGTCGGAGGACATCCGGCATCGTGCGAGATCGACCGAGCAACGGTGGGAGCGTATCGAGGCTCGCAACTTCAGTTTTCTGGCACCTTGCGGGCTCTGCACCCATTGTCGGGAGCGTTAAAAGCGTTTGCCGCGTTCGTTGCCGTTTCGCGGCATTCTTGCAAAAAGATAAGTAACCAGCCGAGGATTTCCCGAGTGTTTCCCGGATTTCGTCGCAATGTTCCAGTCTTCCGTGATAAAAAAATTATTCCATCGTCTTTCGTTGCGGTTTCGCGTTTCTATGCTCGCGTCTTCCCGGATTGGTATCGCTCGGTTGAATCCGATCGTTTCGGACGTCCCGAAGAGCCGACTCCGTCGTCTTCGTAGCTGTCCTTGGGGCTCTCGACGTACTACGGCGTCCGTCGCTACGACGGCGAAATAAATCACATGTTTCCGACGTATATGTACATAATATATCGGGAGAACTAACTATCTACCTATCTATCTAACTAACTAACTATCTACCTAACTATCTATCCATCTATCTATCTATCTATCCATCTACTTCGGTCGGCCTGCGGTGATTCCAGTCTTCGCCGCGAAGATCCAGCCGGCGCCGCAGTCCGAGTTTAAAATTTCATCATCTAAAATAAATAAACACCGACGATAATACTTTCTCGAGAGGGTGGCGCACACCGCTCGAAATACTAGCAAAAAGAGGAGTAGGGGGAGAAGGAGGACGAGAAGAGAGATCGGGTCAAAAGGGACCCACGCGGATCGAGCACGGCGGACGTTCGCGTCTCTTTCGTCTTCGTGCACTTCGAGTCGGCCATCGAGCTGTCGCGAGCTAAATGCACCGTGCGACGAACGATGTCGAAGATCCTGCCGGGGATGCTGTCGTCCCATCGTTCCTCGTTTCTGAACACTTCCGTGAATATCGAGCTTTCCGAGTCGCCGTCTCGAATAATCCTCTTCGATCGCTGAACTCGGCCCCCGAATTTTTGAATGGTCGAGCCGCGAGAGACGGACCTGGGCGACTCTAAATCAAGTCGAAACGATGAAAGAACGGTCCTCGAACGAATCTGGTGATCGGCCAGCTGGCATTGTTCGAGAACGATGTTTCGTACACAAATTTACAATTCTATGATACAACGGCGAGTCTTGGCTATCTACAACATTGTTTCTTCGATCGAGACGGATACCGATCTCCAGCTGCCTGGCTGGACGTGGAACGATTTCGATGGATCGCGTCGGAGAACGAACCGGACGACGACCGGTTCCAGATTCCCGATTTCGCGCTTCGATCGTTGGAATTCCAGGTAATCGTAAAATTCGCGTCGACCTCCGTTCGAAATTGAAAAATGGTCGTGGCACGTCGGAGTCCAGACCGTCGGGTTAAGGGGGTGGGGTGGGGTGGGGGGCAGAGGGAAAGCGTCTCTACGGGGGTGCCCTAAGTACAAAGAGTAAAATTATAAAATCTAGATGCAGGCGTATACGAAGCGTAGCCGGCTTCGAACGAGCTTGCCCAGGTCCCGCGAGTTCGACGCACGGACGGTTCGACCATGGCCCGCGATTGTCATGGGACGTGAAATGCAGTGATTATGGGAGATCCTTCGCGGTGTCCCAGCGTACGGTCGACGATCCGGCAATTTTTCTTCGGAGACGACGGCGTCGCTACGACGGTAGGATGTCGAGCTCGAGGACGCTCTGCGTGTTGGGAGACAGCATGTCCTCGCTTTTGTGCACTAGAACGTTTTTGAAGTCGCGCAGCTTCTGCGGCTGCAGCACCGCGGCGGAGTTTCTCGGCAGGGTCGCTATCGGGTTTGTGCTGTAGGTCTTCAGGGGCTTCTCGTACCGGGTCATCGAGTTCTCGCACTCGGAGTTGTGTCTCCTTTTCCCGGCCGGTTTCTCGCACGGCTGTTTCACCTCTTTCTCCTCGAAGCAGGGCACCGTCTGCATCGACACGGTGTTACGGTCGTTGAACAACGACCTCGGGTTCAAGGTCACCTCCCTGGCGGAGCCGAACTGCTTGAAGTTCCCGCCGACCGGGCTGTTCATGAAGCTCGTGTCGACGGAGCGAGGCTCGGCGACCCGTTTCTCGATCTTGATCTCGGTGACGTTCTGCCGGATCAGGATGTCCGGCGTGGCTTCCGGCAACGGCTCCTGCGAGATCGGCGGCCATTTCAGGTCGCGCGACATGTCCCGCTCGATCGCGAGGAACTTCCTGCGGGACTTGTCGACGTTGTGCCAGCGGTAGCGCAGCTTGTTGAACACCAAATAGTCGACGAAGAAGTACTCGGTCAGCAGGGAGACGACGAAATTGGCGGCGCCGTAGCCGATCAGAGCGAACCGGAAGCCCATGCTCTCCGGAAGCTCGAGCTCGAACCAGTTGGCCAGCCAGTCGAACGGGAAGGTCGCCAGATAGACGGAGAACAGGCTGAGAAAGATGAAGGCGGTCAGCAAACCGTAATTCGTGAACACCGACTTCCTGTACGGATGCCCCTTCGAGAACGCCACCGCCAGAATGATGTACTGCATCGAGCTGATGATGAACAGAGTGTAGTTCTCCGTGCAGGCCACGTCGTCCTTGTTCTCCAAGGACTTGGCCGTCGCGTTGAACGGCTCGAACCACTCCATCTGTTGCAGATGCCACAGGCTGCCGCTCTGAAAGATCGCCACGATCAGGATCTGCGTGACCAGGCTCAGGATCGGCGTGGTGCTGATCAGGCTGTTCAACGGCGTCGTCTTCACCAACGGGCCGTCGTACGCCCGTGTGCGGCCGAAGAAGAAAGCGAAGATCGAAATGATGAAGAGATCGATGTACAGGAACTCGATGTCCGTCAGGTTCGACTCGATGCTGTAGAGAAGCATCACCGAGATGAACTGGGTGAGCGAGTAGCTGGCCATGTACTTGAAGATCCCGAAGGAGGTGACCAACGCTGCCCGACCTTCGCGAATCACCGTCAACACGGAGGAGATGTTCGTCTCGCGACTGGTAAACGGCGAGGCCACCGAAGACTCCGTGTCGGAGAGAGATATTCCCGTGTGCGCCGCCTTCAGGGCTCCGCAGTCGTTCGCTCCGTCGCCCACCATCGCTGAAAATCACGTGGAATATTACGACACCGAATATATACCGGAATCCCTCCCGTTTCTCTGGTAGGACGCGCGCCGGATACAAGTTCCCGGAGACAAAAACACGCATGGTAAAACTCGACACTCACCGACATAGTAGCCCAAGGACTGCAGCTCTTGCACGAGTTGCTGCTTCTGATCCGGCGACATCCTCGCAAAGATCGCGCCTCGGGTGACCAGTTTGGGGATCAAATCCGGATAGTATTGCTTCACCAGCGCCCACGTTTTCCCCGTCAGCGAGAACACGTACTGGTTCTTCGAGCGGTGCAAGCTAAACGCGACGAAACGATCGTTGAGATTATCGAGCGATTATATCGCTTACATATATAGCGTATCGAGCGACATATCACTTACTCGTCGGACAAGTAATTGCCGTCGTTGAAGCCGCTCTCGACCGTCTCCAAGCTGGCCACGCTGTTCAGATCGGTGAAGTTGCCGTGGCCCTTCGGCGTGACCGGCGTCGGCTGGCTGTTGCTGTTCGTGAAGTAGATCTGCGGCTTGGTCTGCTGACTCTGCTGGGTCGCCGAAACTGCGATCACCGGAACGCCGGGCTTCACGATGTCGCAGTCCCTGGCGACCGACAACGCGGTCAGCATATTGTCGCCGGTGACCATCACGGTCTTGATGCAGGCTGCGTTCAGAGCGCTGATCACGGGGCTCGTTTCCGGTTTAAGTCGGTTCTCCATGATCACGAACGCCAGGAAGGTCAAGTCGGACTCGGCTGCCTCGCGACTCAGTCTTTGCACCTTGGCGTATGGAAGACGATTCAAGGACTTGTGGGCTAACGCGATCACGCGGTAGCCCTCCGAGGTGTAATCTTGCAGTATGGCGCCAAAGTCTGCTGGAACTGTCGAGGAAACAGAAATGCCGGCAAGTTGATTAAATTGCTCGGGGAAGGAGCTATCGGAGCCCTATCGGAGCTATTATGCCCTAAATTCTCTCTCGTCGACGGTAAATTAGTTATTATGGAAGTCGATCGATCGGGCTCGCTATATTTATCGATCTAAACGATTCGACAGGGCTACCGATCGAATCGAATTCGTCCGGACGTTCTTCAGGGGATAAAAAAGCTTTTGCTTCCAAAGATGGGCGCTCGATCGGGCGAGAAACATCGTGCGCGAAGCTAATGTTCGAATTATACGTACTCGACTCGGCTTTGGAGAGGCTGAGGATCATCTCCGGGCTGCCCTTGCAGTAGAGGTCGTAGTGGTTGGCGCCGAGCGTCCTGCTGATGACGCTCATCCGTTGAAGAGTGGACGTGAACGGAAACTGTCGGACGATACCGATCTCCAGGCCCTGTTCCCCCAGCTCCGTGGTGGAGTCGACCAGCGTGGCGTCGAGGTTGTTCAGGGAGATGTCCATCACGTCGGAAGACATGGAGTTTTGTCGGCTGAGCGTGATCCTCGGATCGTTGGGCAGCTTCTTGAGCAGCTTGGAGCCTTTCGGCGGTCGAACCACCGTTGGGAACAACATCGAGAACTTGGACGTGTCGGACACGTCGGGTTCCTCCAGGGTCCAGCCGGTCGATTCGAACATCTTCAAGTCGAGCGGATCGCCTACGGGCTGGTTGTCGATTATGGTGATCCCGTGGCACGTCACCATGCCGTTCAGCAGGTCGTTCAACGGCAAGGACGCGATGTCCTTCACCGGCAACTGAAACTTCTTCTCGACCGCGGGTACCACGCCCCACATATCGAGCCCGTCCTCGGTCAGGGTGCCGGTCTTGTCGAAGCAGATGCAATCGATGGATCCCGACACGTTGATGGTCCTCGGACTGGTGCAGTAGATCTTGCCGTGCTCCAATCTACGCTGCGCCACCAACCGACCGACGGTCATGGCTGCCGGTAGGGCGGGTGGTACCACCACGGTGATCAAATCCAGAGCCTCCAGAGCGATGTGATCGCCCTGCACGCCTCTCATCACCTTGGTCACGATGGTGTAGATCACGCCGATGCTGGCTATGCCCGCCAAAAGGATCACGAACTTGTAGGAATCTTGCTCGAACTTGAAGTCCACGGGCGGAGGATACATGATCGACCTGACCAGCGCGCCCTTGCTCGTGTCGAAGCCCGTCCTCACCACCACCGCCAGCACCTGACGAAAAGAACGATCGATCGTTAGAGGTTTGGCGAAGAGGAAACAGTTTCCCTAATAAAATTGAAATCGGTCACGCGATCTTACCTTCTCCGTTCCGTAGTATCTCGTCTGAATGATTTTGGTGCCGCAGAACAGCGTGTGCCTGGCGTGTTCCTTGATGTCGTAGGTGATATCGTTGGACGAAGGAATGGGTGTCTTGGTGACGGGAACCGACTCCCCGGTGAGCATAGACTCGTTCAAGATGCAGTTCCCGGTCAGAAGCACCGCGTCGCAAGGCATCAGGCATCCGTGAGAAGGTATTACCAAAATATCGCCGGGGACCAATCGTTCCGCGGGTATGGTCGCCGTTTGGCCGGTAGCTCGGTCTCTCATCACCGTCGCCACGTCGGAAGATTGAATGGTGGACATCAGATTTTGTTGGTTCTGCGGAGAAACTCTTGTACATTAATACGGAAAACGATTCGGCGAGCAAACGAAACGAAACGAACGACGACGACGACGACGACGACGTACCCGACGATTCTGGAAGGCTGCCATCAATATGCCGACGCTGGACATCGATAGAATGGCCATGGCGTAGTAGTAGTAATTGTCGGCCACCCAGAGACAGAAGCTGAGCAGTTGGAAGACATAGAATGGATTGAGAACCTCCAGGCCGACCAGCGTCATGATGTTCTTCACCGGGATCATGATCTTGTTGCTTCCGTAAACGCAGCGTCTCATGTGTTGTTCGTGGTAATTCAGCCCTTGCATCTGGTGCAACGTCGACGTGAACACGTCGACGTCCAAGCCGTGCAGCTTCAGGAACTCGCCTCTTTCCGGGTCCCAGATGTAGGTGAGCTTCTTGCAGTGGAAGAGAACGATGGACTGAACCTCTGCGAAGATCGTAATTCGATCGATTAGAAGATTCGTAAACGCCGCGATTAAATCCGAATTGCTTCGTGGATCCATACTTTTGAACTGCCCTCCCGACAAGTGCAACGACAGCGAGGGATGATATTCCTCCTTGACCTCCTTCACGGTGATCATGCCGTCGTTTTCCATCCAAGGTTCGTTGTTCATCAGCGACTCGCCGTCGAAGGGCTTGTTCCTTTAAATCGATTTTGAACGTAAAGGTGGACGAATCGGGATAGGGACGAGCGATCGAGCGCGGGATAAAAAATATACTAACAATACGTCTTGGGCAACCAGCGTCTTCAGCTTCTTCACGTAATAGCTGGTGTGTTTTTCTTGGAACTTCTCGACGAGCAGAACGGTGTCCGCTTCTTCCAGTCGGCATCTGGAATGAGTGCTCTGCAACATCCATTGCGGTACCCAGTGGAAGACCAGCCTGAGGAGACCCCCGGTGACGAAGATCAGGAGCCAGACGACGGCGGTTAAAACTTTATTCCTCTTATACCTGAAGACATCGATTGATTACGTTACCGACGGAAGCAAGAAGAAGTTGCTCGTTAGTTTTCAAAGATTTACCCATAGATTTCCATTTGGTCTTCTTCGCCGGGGTTCACGTAGTCGACGCCATTTTTAAGCTGGAGGATGCCGGGACTTCTGGCATCTGAAAAGAAAAAGATCGAGGTTTCGTGAACGGACGCTATAAAATGGTAGAAAAATAAAGATCTTTCGAGCTACGACGACGCATCTCCGCAGCGCGCGGAGCGCTTACCCTCCAAAAGTTCCGTTTTCTGTTCCCGCTGCTGGTCAGCGGCGTTGTTGGTACCACGTGTTCCGAACACGCTGTACGCGTTCCTTGCGAAGTTCAAATTCAACTTGCTCGGCGTGGGTGGCATGACGGCTAAGGGCTAACGGGAACACGCGCACTCTGTCTCTCTTTCTCTCTTTCTCCGCCTCTCTCTCTCTCTCTCTCTCTCTCTCGCAATCTCTTTCCCTCCCTATCTACCCTCCATGGAAATCGGTATCCTCTGGATCGGTAAACCTCCGGATCGGTTGGATCCGCCGCTCGGCGGGCTCGCGACAGCGCGGCAACTATCCCTTATCGAGGTGTATCCTTGTTCCTAATTGATCCGGTCGTCTCACAACTACATCCTACCACTATCCTTATCGGACTAGCAATTTATTGTCCGTGGGCCGTGACCCGGCTAGTCGTTCGAGAAGCTAATCGACAGCTAATCGAATCGACCAGGACAAGAGAGAAGAGTTCGTCAACTGTCCTCGAAGGCGGTTCGAGGAACGGCCGGAACACTAGCAGTGGTAGGAAAGAACGGGTCGTCGGGCCGGGGCCGGGACCGGGTCACCTCGAGGTTGTACCCGGCAAGGGTGTCTCGCGCGACGAGGCGGTGCGTTGTTGCGAGCAACGACCCCGTCTGCTACCGACACCGGTTCTCCGCCATCGTTCGGTCCATCTGGAATGCGTCCGGCGCGGATCCTAGCGCGGCGTTTCGCTGCATCTGGCCGGCATAGATGATCCACCGATCTCTCGGATGGTTCGGCCAGCAGCGGCGAGCCGTGGACCTTGTCGTCGCGTCCCTCGAGACGAGAATCGAGCGGCAGGAGTACGAGGACGTTGAGGTTCGAGACAGCAGCGGCAGCTGATGCTATCGCTCCGGACCTGCCCCCGGATTCTTGGATTCGTGTCAGTCGCCGGGATCGGTCAGCTTTCGCCAGCCAATTCGCAATGTGACCACGGCTCGTTCACCCGCGCTCATGCCGCGACGATGGCAGACCGTGTCCGAATCTCTGGCCGGCGAACGCGGACTGAGCGGCCGGTGTACCTCGAAGTCCAACTGCTTCGCCGAGCTTCCCCTCGTTCTGCCCTTGATCCCGAGCTGGCCTCGTCCTCCTGTCCCGCAACCGGTGCTCGTCGCCGCCGCCGCCGCCGCCGCCGCCGCCTCTCTTGTGTGCTCGTGCCTCCCTTTGTCTGGCTTGTCGCGCGATCTCAAATACATTACGGGTTAGAAGGATATCTTGGGCGCCGATGTACTTCTCGATCGGCAGTAACGAAATCAAATCGGAACCGATTTTTCCTCTCGGCACCTGATTTATCGGCTGGATCGGTCGATAATTCGATGCGCCGAGTTACCGAGCCGGATTCCAACGCGCTCGACGGTCACCGATCGAACGAACACCTTCGAATATCGTCCGGTAATCGAGGTAGAACGACGACGGATTCGAGTATCGGTCCTCGCGGGTCCCTCCGGAAATCGATCGAGTCTCTCGTGGATTTTCACGGGTTCGCAAGTTCTCGTATAGGTATATCCGTCTCGCGCGAAGAGGATCGCACGATCCCGAGCTAGGCCTCCTCGATGATCGATCACACAGCCGGTATCGCACCGTGGCGTTTAAACCGCGAGCGCTCGACGCGACAACGATCTCTCCGACGATTGCTCCGAATCCGTCCGGGATTTCCTCCTGGTTTCCTAGTCTTCTCGCGGTGGTTCGCAGCCCGCTTAGAGCAGTCGCCGGGTCTCCCAGCTCGTCTTTCAGATGATCCGCTTAAACGACTCACCCTCTTCGGGACTTCTAAGTACAGAGAACACGGTGCAATAGTTTGTTCCTAGCATCTTGCTCATAATGACGATCCGGGTTCACGTGTCCCGTTCCACGTTGCGTACCTATCGTTCCGCGGCCGGCCGGTAAACTAGGAAACGGAAAAGGAAAAAACCAGCTCCCACAGGAAGTCACTTTGCACGGGTCTGCGTTCTCGGTCGCATCGGCGGCGGATCGACCGACGGAATGACAGCCGCGACGAAGGTGTTCGCGCTCCAGGCACCCGCTGCTACGACTGCCTGCTGCGACATGCAACGGCGACTTTATAGGTGTCCTAGCTCCGGTGGCAACGACGGCGCTCCGCTTGGCATGCCTCCCGCTCGAGCTTCCCCGTGGTCGCGCGATTTCACGACGAACGATCCGCACGGAAAAACGGCTGCCGCGTTCTCGATCCCGCAACGTGCTCGCGACGATTCCAAGATGGCGACCAGGCCGGGACAAACCCGACGTCTCTCCGTTTGCTCCGAATTCCACTGTGCCGTCTCGCGTCACTGTCGTCTGCCGCGAAGATCGACGGATCCGCGCGCGTCTCGATCGCCTCGTAACCGGTCGCAACGACGAATCTCTCGTTCCTCCTCGTCCGCACACGGCTCGAACGAACTTGTTCCTCCTCGAACGAAAAGAGCGCGCGCGAGAGACAGCTGGCACACAGAAGCGTTCGCCCCAATTACCAACGAGATTCCAGGCACGAGTGGCTAAGGGAGTCGTTTGGCAGTCGCCTAAGACCTGCGCTCTGGCCGCTCCGACCCGGTTCAGGGCCGTACCCGTGCCCGTTGCCGCGCCCCTAAGCTTCGATAATCCGCCACGTGTCGCGCGAAATCGAAACCGAAACCGAAAGCGAAACCAAAACCGCAGCCGACGCGGAGATTCGGTTTCGCCTCGTCGACCTTTTTACGAAATCCGAAACAAATTGGCGCGTCTCGTCGCCGGTGTGTTATCGAGTGTCGCCCGTTTTCCCAGGATTTCGAAGCTACGGCATCGACTCCGTTCGGTTCCGCGAGCCGCCGTGTACGCGTATGCGCGTCGCCCGAACGGACAGTTATTTCGAAGCGACGATATCGGAGCATCTTTGATCGGGATTATTAATAGGCGATCGATCGAACGGGCCGGAGGGATCTCGCTTGTTGCACGCCGGTTAGAGGTCGCGGGCAACTTTTCTCTCGAGGAATTATGTAATTCGTCGACTATTGCTCGCCGATAGGCGCGGTATAAATAGATCGTCGAAAAAGAACTCGTATCTTGGCCTATTGGAAACGACGTAATCGGTGGTAGGCTTCGATCGGTAGCTCTTCGACCGGGTTAAAAGAACAAGACCGATGCTCGAGCGAGCGGATTTCGAATCTGAAATCGATCGCACCGGAAATTCTTGCGCGTTTAAAATTGCTCGAATCGTCGTCGCACGAGTCGTTGCGGCAATATCTGGACTAACGGCGGCCAGCCAGCTTATCTTGACAAACGACCGAAATGACATGTAAGAAGCGACAGCCGCTAATCTCCAACTGGTGCGCGCCAGATCGGATCTAATTCTCTGGAAGCGTCAATATTTACCGCCCCCCCGGGACGGCGCGAGCAACGGTTTACGTTTACGTTTACGTTTACATCGAATTGCGTAACGTCCGTGGGTCGTGGGCCGGGCCCCGAGCCCGGTGGCACCGTGATCGACGGCTACGCGCCTGAGATATCCCTTCCAGCGGGTCCTGCCTCGACCTACGACGACGTCGGCGCTCGTGACTCGTGACTGGTGACGTCACGTGACGCGCAGCGACGTGACGTGATGCGAATCATCCGTTCCCACCGAACCCGAGCCTCCGTTTCCGTACCCGTCCCCGTCCCCGTACTCGTGCCACCGGTACGGCCCTGTTAATTGCACCTCGGCCCTGCTCGGCTCGAGAGGTGCATCCCTCCGGCCACCGGCGCGGCCAAGAGCGGCGCACCCTGCCGGTTCCCTTTGTCGAAATCGCCGGTGGAACGCACCTGCTCGGGCTCGAGGCTTCGAGGTTCGAGGTTCGAGGTTCGAGGTTCGAGCCTCGACGCTCGGAACTCGGAACTCGGAACTCGGAACTCGGAACTCGGAACTTGGAACTCGGAGCTCGAGGCTCGCCGAGACCTGGCCGCACCGAGCGGGTTCGACCTCGGGGATCTATCGCGGTCTCGCTCGCTCGCTCTCGCTTCCGTTCGTGGCCCATTCGAGTATTGAACGGCGACGCGGTCGATAATCGCTTCGAGCTAACTCGAGGCAGCTCGGGCTCGTGCTCGGGCCAGTACACGTCGGCCCGAAAACGCCCGCGTTCGCACCTAGACCTAACTCTTGCCGAGGAACGGGCATGTCCAACCGACCCTACCCCCCTCTGGTGTTCACCGAGCGCACTCGAACCCCCGTCGATTAAATTCGACTGCACGTTGCACATGTGCGTGCAATAATGTGCAGTTTGCACGGATGGGACGGGGACCGTGATGCACCAGATACGGCCGATCGTATCGTCGTGGAAAAAAATAGTCGGATTTAACGCTTCGACTTCCGCGCTTTCGATAGATATCGTACTTTCGACTGCAGCCGGTATTCACCTTTTTACCTGTGAACGCGACACCGTTGCAGCGCGGCGTACGTCTGTCATCTCGCGAGCGACACCAGGACGATACGGTAAGACGATAATTCCGAGGGCTCTTAGAGCGGCGTATATTACTCATAGTCGATTGCAAAAGATCGCGTGCACGGCTATTTTTACTTATAAAGATTCTTACCGGCTTCTATTATTTATAATCGAAAGGCTGCATATTTAAAAATATAGTCGGATTATAAGAATTATTAGCGGCTAATCTTTGCTTACAGTCGACTACAAAAAGACTATAGAATATACGTGGTTGGATCTAATTATAAAAATTCTTGTCGAAGTATACTTAGGTAGTCGAGATTAGAGAAGCCTACGCGTTTAGAATAAAAATCCGATTTTGCCTGCTCTCGTTCGCATCGAAAAATATTTCACGATATTAGGTGCCGAGACTTTCGGCGCGGGCCACAGAACATCTTGTCGGAATAGTTTTCAACGAAATCGCTGTATAAATATCCGTTGACTAAATGCGATATACTGTAAGGTCGAGAGGCCATAATTTGGAGGATTATAGCGGCAAACGGTACCATGGACGAATAAATTACCAGCGAAAGTTTTATGACATCGGTAAATAGTGAAAGCTATTTTTGGGAAAACCGACCCTACGGGTATTAACTAGAAAGTATGTTTCCTATTTTGTAGTATCCTTCGTTCTCGATTTCAATAGCTAATGAATCCGTCTTAATAGCATCGTTCTCGGTCTCGATAGCACCGTAAAGGCCATAGAGGCCCAACGGCCCATGGCTGGCCTGGCCGATCCGCTACCGTCCGCATTACAGGTCGAGCAGACCCGGGGAAATTACTTTACAGTACTAACGAAAACCCCGTTATAGAAGCGAAGAATAAATAACGTGTAAGACACCCTTGCGCTTATCCTTTAGCGACTCTTACTCTTGCCGGCTACTTAGACCCTGTATAGCGGAAATAAAGCACACGTCTACCGCTCGAAACTTCGTGCCCATTTCACGAGAGCACATCAGACAAGAAACCCCCAACAATGATCGACGACGACTTCCTTGGAAGTGCTAGAAATATGTATATTAATAGTCAGAATATTCGAACTCTTGGAGTATTTCGGACGATGAGCAGAAAAAAAACACGCGCACTCGCGAGGTTGTATTTTCATCGACGTCGCAGCTTAATTTTATCGTCGCATCGACGTCCGCGGCATCTCAAATATGAGAGAGAACGCTAATGAAAATTCTGCTTCATTAGAGTCTTCGCTTAATGGATCTATTAATAAACGAATTACGTCGCCGCATAACTTTTTTTCTCTGCGAATGGCTCCATTGGGATCTTCGTTCGTGTAGATGTTACTTTGTCACTGAAAAAAATCTTTTGTAGAAGAAACTACGATTTACTTCGCGAACAGGAATTTTAATGAAAATTGGAGACTGTTCGATTCGACGGGATAGAAAGATCAACCGGCTCGTCCGAGAGGAAAAGCACGAACAAAAGAATCGATAAGAAGCATACGTTTTCCGAGAATGGACGGTTTATCGGAGCTGCGGATCTCCCAAGAATCGTCGTCGGTCGAAAACGCGTTTCCTTGCGAAACGGAAAAACAGATCGGGGAGCATTCAACAGGCTCGTTAATTTCCCGGTATCGCTTGCACGATTTCGCGACAATTTCCTTTATCAGCTCGGACATCGAGACGCTTCCGAGCGGAATTTTTCTCCGACAATCAGCGGCTGCTGACGCGCACGCCGTCGCGACGTACGGTGTAATCGCGACGTAATCGCGTTTCTTTTCCGCACACGCGTTAAAGATGCATTCGATGGACGACATTGATTTTCCCTCGAAGAGTAATCGTCGCGTTTCCGGCTAATTGGCGCCCGTTACCGATTCCGTTCGCGTCTGCCCATCCCGGAAGCGTTTCACGCGTCCGCCAATCGATTTGTCGAACAATTTGCACACGTCCGAAGAAACCTTTTCGAAAAATCGTAAAAATTTAAAACTATCCGTTCGTAATTTTTATTATTTATATTTTTTATCATCATCGGAGGTAGTTCTACGTATATTGCCTGTTCGACGGTTACGTTTAACGAATACATCGTTCGAAACCGCAATAACTGTTATCTCGTTCGTAATAAAAATTATCGCCTACACACGTTTTCGTTCAACACGCCAGAATATTACTTATGTTATTCGAGCATGCTCGACTTTTCATTCGAATTTCTGAGTTTGTACGTACGTGCTTGCCGTTTTCGACTCGAGAACGAATCGCTTCGGCGAATTTAATTAAACGTTTCCGATCGAGGGAAGGATCGATCGATCGCGAGACCTGTTTTCGGCGTTACGCCGCGTTATCGCGCACTTGTGCCAGCGTATCGGCGCCCAATCCGGAGATAAACGCTAATTGTTTTCGGCTCGATCGCTCCTTATCGGTTCACCCCTCTGCGTTGCTATTCTTTCCCGAGGCTCCGAGGAAGTTATGCAAGGACAGCTAACGCGTATCCGTCAACTTCGTCGATACGTGCACCGTGCGGTTCGTTCGCGGACATCGTTACGTAAGATCGGTATAACGGCGCACGTTTTCGCGGCGCTACGCGATACGACGAGTCGCGTCGCCAGGAAATTCTAAAAATTTTATGTACACGCGTTATCTTTCTCGTGTTCAACATTGCTGCGAGGCGACGTATCAATGAGCGCAACTCGACGCGAGGCTCGTCGCGTTGCTCGCGGAATAACTCGACACTGGCGCTCAATTAACGCTTCGAACGCTTTGTCGCACCGACGATTGAGTCGGTTTCCCCGGGACACGAACGGCTGGCCTTGTGCTCCGGTATCGATTCACCGTCGTTATCTTCCTTGTCTCTTCGCGGAACACATCGCAGATTTTTGCAGAAATTTACCGAATTCCTTCGAAATTTGGAGGAGTTTTTAAGAATCGACGATCTCAACGAATATAGGTGTTCCAGCGTTCGCGTTCACATTCGTGCTCGATGTACAGTAATGTCTCCCTAATCGACGCTCGGATAATCGTATCTCCTTTTCCCAAATTGTCCACTCTTGTGTACGTCAATTGGAGAGACATTACTGTACATGCACCGAAAATTCACAGTTCGTTCGCAACGATTCAGCGAGATCATCGCGAAGCTATCTTTCTCTTGAAACACAACGATCCGCGAGAATCTATCGACGATTCCAACAAGTTCACTTTAGAACGAAGCCGGTATCTCGAAACTGCACGATATAAATGCGCAAGGAATCACGGTTTAATTGCAGCATTTAGGAAAAACATCGGATGCGTGACAATGCGCGATACGCCGACGATGTTCGCGCGAATCCGTTGCAGCAAGCTGCGTTCTCGCGAAAACCGACGCGCAACAATTTCGAGTACAAACTCCGAAACCGGACGAACGTTTTACTTCGGGTCTCCGCTTTGTTTTCTCGCACAGATTTATCTGTCCCATCGCGTGCTCTTCACCGAGATGAAAGGGGAATTTTCCTAGCGTCTTCGTGCTGCTGCACGCATCTCCTTGACGGCGCGGAGCGGCACACGGTGTACGTCGAGATATCGACTTTTCAGATCGCGCGCCGATATCGGATACAAAAGCCGTCGATTTCATCGACGCCGATGTTGCAACGTTATCATTTTAATACAGCGCGGCGCGGTCTTTATTGAAAATCGCTTCGAAGCGAGATTAATCGAGCTTGAAACCGATGGCCTTGGACGAGCTCTAATTGATTCTTGGAGAGTGCATTCGTTGATGCGGGAAGAGCTTGCGAATTATTTTTATTAGCCGAGGCAAGCCGACAGGAGTAAAAGATGCGTCGAGATTAATTCGATAAATACGGATTCGCCTGGATCCGGAGCACTTTTTGGATCGAATCTGAAAAGATTCTTGAACGATTCTTCAAGAACTCCTTGAAATTCGAAGAGAAGGCGCGTCTCGTGAATTTTGCTCGCGGTCTCTCGGTTCCACACGGTTCCGAAATGCTTCTGTTTTTCTCGGTCG